TGATCAAGATTACATCAGATTAAAAAGTATATAGAACAAACAGTTTCTAATAATGATTAGACAATTGAAAATAAACTATCGATAGTTCATTTTTTATGATTATACCGGAGAAACTCCTAAAGAAATAATATTTAGTTGGTTAGGAAAATTGTGATACCAATTTCAACGGTAAGAAAAAATAAAGTTCTACCCAACCTAGCATTGGAATAGAGGAGGCTGATTTTTCCGTATCATAGGTTTAAATGGAGAAAAATTGCTAAAGAGACAAGGGCATGCGTAGTGATACTAATATTACTTAGATATGATATGACAATTATTAAAAGTTATCGAATTGTAGTAGTTAATAACTTCACGGCTTATAATAGCATTAAAATTGCGTGTATTAATATTTTTTCTTAGTAATAGTGCTAAGCAAAATGATAATATTGTTCAACATCACTTAAACATGAAAAAAATTAAAAGTATCAAGTGACACGTTGTTATGGGTTAATAGCTTCAAGGGGTTATTAAGAGCATTAATATCGTGTCTATATAAACTTTGTTACCTTAGAGTAATAATATTAACCCAATAGTATGATTTAACACATTATATATTCAATTTAAATGGTGAATTGAACTCTATATCTTATGATAGAACCACATATTAAATTCACCGTTACGTTATTGGCTTGAACCACACCATCTCACTTTATATAAAAACTAGTGATACACATGTTTGGTGTGCATGAGCAGCACAAAAATATTTGATCCTTTTTGTTTTGAGAATAATATGCATAAAAAATTGACATATCTTAGACAGCGAAGACCCGTATAAGTTGTTAATAGGCGGGCGCCCCACGGGAAGCTAACACGTAATTATAAGTCAACAAGACGTGACGACAAGTTTTCTCAACATATATATTTATATATTATATAATAGTAATAATAATAATAATAATAATAATAATAATAGAAAAGGGTTGAAAAAGAGTAATATGTTGTATTCACTCCATTAAACAAGTGCTATTAAGACTCCCCATTATTGAGGCTATTGGTTCCTCATTTGATTTTCGAGTAAACAAACACCAGCCTTGTGAGTAGCCATTTTGGGGGCGGCAAAAGAAAAAGGAACAATTATAGAATGACATATATGTCACATGTGAACCACTTAAAATCCATCAATAATTGAGCCATTTTGAGAAATAAATTAAAATAATGGATTGCACATAATATGAGTCTATATAGGCAGAGGTACAGTTGAGGTTTAGACTTGAGACTAAGTCCCTATCATATATATATATATATATATTTATAGTCCATTAGAATGGATGACACATTTAATGTGATACATGTATAAAAGTGAAAAAAACGTAATATGACCGTTATTAAATATAATATTAACGTTGACGAGACGTAACATATTTAATATAATGTTAATAATTATTATGTTATATTGTTCACTTCTACATATTACATAAATTGATCGTTTATTTGGATGAACCATAACCACAGTGTGTGTGGGTGATGAGAGGGGCGAGCCATTCTCTTCTAAGCTATTCAATTATTCATTTCAAGTAAAGCAATACTATATTAATTATTTGTGTAATTTTCCTGTGATGTAATGCCAAAATTGTCTTAAGGGGACACCAACATAATAGAAAGAAATCTCATCTTAGATAATTGAGCCATTTTGAGAAATAAATTAAAATAATGGATTGCACATAATATGAGTCTATATAGGCAGAGGTACAGTTGAGGTTTAGACTTGAGACTAAGTCCCTATCATATATATATATATATATATATATATTTATAGTCCATTAGAATGGATGACACATTTAATGTGATACATGTATAAAAGTGAAAAAAAACGTAATATGACCGTTATTAAATATAATATTAACGTTGACGAGACGTAACATATTTAATATAATGTTAATAATTATTATGTTATATTGTTCACTTCTACATATTACATAAATTGATCGTTTATTTGGATGAACCATAACCACAGTGTGTGTGGGTGATGAGAGGGGCGAGCCATTCTCTTCTAAGCTATTCAATTATTCATTTCAAGTAAAACAATACTATATTAATTATTTGTGTAATTTTCCTGTGATGTAATGCCAAAATTGTCTTAAGGGGACACCAACATAATAGAAAGAAATTTCATCTTAGACTAATGTTCAACTAAATACGTCATGTTCATTGTTTATGCTAAATAATAACACAAACGATCTTGGACTTCTTCTTAATGATTATATTCCGTGATTAAATTAAATATGTATAAAATATTATGGAGAGATTTATACGTATTCAATTCAAGGTATAGCAAAGAGTCACTCGTACGTATGGTTTGAATTATTGTTATATAAATGCAAAATAAATTAAAAAAATAACAATTAATGCAAAACGAAATAAAAAGACACAACGGTGACGCAAAGGACTGGATCTGGGAAAGCAGAATCGTCACTGACTTTCATGACTTTGCTGATGCCCAAAGTTGAATCAAAGGTAAAGTTGGCCTTTTTTCATAGCCAAAAAAAAGAAAAGAAAAGGAAAATAGAATATTATCCTCCTTTTTCAAAATTTCTATCAATAATATTTTTTCTTTTGTCTTAATCCCAATTTTTCTCCGGGTGAATTCTATTTTGTTCGTGACATTTAAAGATCTCACAACTAGTTCCCAATCTGTAAAATTGTCCCATTAAAATCATTTCGATAAGAATTCTGTGAAAAATAATGGAAATTGATGCATGTACTTTAGTGTGGATGTGAATATTTAAAGCAATGTCAAATGACTGTTAACATTTTCTTTTTTTTTTTTCCATTTATTTAAACCAAACACGTCGTTAGTAATTTTTTTAGGAACATTAACTAAACTAAAAGGTTTATGTTAAAATTAAAAAGCAATTATTTTTTTCTTTTTTCTTTAAAAATTTGATCTCGTTATTTTACCTCTTTTAGTGATGTACTTGTATCCTTTTTTTTTTTTCGCCCTTTTCCTCATCCTATTGAACTAAGTCTCTAATCAAGTTTAATTCACTTAAAGTTTTAAAGTAAAACTCATGAACTTATAAGGTAGTATATTTTTGTTTTAGTTTATTTGTGGTTCTATGTTTGAAAATGAGTGTATTTAAAAATCAAATATTGTAATTTAAACAATCTCAGGGGACCTCGACAAAAGAAAAATTGAAGAAAAATGGCTAAACCTAGAGTTTGGCTGTTAGTTTCACAGGAACTCTATCACTGATATCATTTCCTCTTTTCACGTTATTAGTTTGACAAAAAAAAAAAAAAGTGTACAAAAAAGAGCTTTAGAATAGTTTAAAAAAACATGTAGCTTATTTGTTTCGCAAATGTAAATGATAGTTCAAATTTTTTTGCTACAATATTGCTCTCAAAAAATTGAATTCCTACTCAAATCAATGAAATAAAGGAGCTCATGAAGAATACTTTTAAGTTATTTAGTTGAAGGTCGGGGATATTTTGGCTGTGTTTAGAGTTGTTTTTATTTTTTATTTTTACGTTTTCAAGAAAAAAAATGAAAACGGGAGAAAAACGGCATTTGACACAATTAAAGACAAAAAACCGAAATGAATACGATTTTTTAGTTTAGTATAAAATGAGAGAAAAATGATTTTTCATTTTTTGTTTCCATTTTCTCCTCTCTTGAGTAGAGAGAGAGAGAGAGAGAAAAACATTAATAAATTTTTTATATTAAAAATAATATCTTGATAAAATTACTAAACACATTTTTAAAAATAATTTCTGTGATTATAAACGTTTTCATTTCCATTTTCATACAAAAAATAAAATCACTTTGAAACGAATTCCAAACGTACCATTTGCATTCTTCCTTTTTTTTTTTTTTTTTGGGAAACCCTTACGATCTAATTATGATGTATAAATGGGAAATTTTTATGATAAAATAAATACCCTTCACGTTTGGTATAATGTAGCATTATATAAATAATAGAAAATACACAATCTGAAAATATTTGTTTAATTTAGTTCGCAACCTCTCTCCCTAAATAAAATGGAGACATCCAAAATTCGTGCATCCCGATATTAATAAGTAAACAAATTTTCCTAGCTACCCTAAATCACTTTAAGTAAAAAGTACCAAATTTCTTAAGTTTAGGTGACTTATTTGGTGACAAACAGACACCCTAAAAAATAGGCAAAAAGGGATAAGGTAGTAAGCGTTTAGGTTAGATATTTTTGACACTAAAAACCTAATCAGAAGACAACAAAGGGAAGAACCTGAAAAGATTTCGAGGTATAAACCTGAAAATAATAATTAATTAAAAGGAAAAAGTGTCATCAAGAGGGCTTTATATGGGAAACTGCAAACTCAAAGGGCGTAAATGCAAATATCTATGTACCCTATCTTAATTGTCTGAAATGCAACACATAATAATTAAGCAAATAAAAAACTGAAAAATTTATGGATCTTGCCAATTTCAACACTTCCATAAGCCTAAAAAAAAAAAAAAAAAAAAAAAAAAAAAAGAATGGGCAACCCTTATCAGGAAGCAAGCGAGTACAGCCATTTCATTACTTGAACAATCATTTTTTTAATATTATACAAATGTAATAAATAAATATATAAAAAAGACAAATTATAAAAGGGGTGAAAACAGGACCATAAAAAAAGTACAAAAAGAAAAAAACGTGACAGAGTGTGTGCATGTGCTGATGTGCGGTTGATGATTCATTTGGTTGTGATTGGTGTCTTCTTACAATACAATATTATTTTAAGCCAAAAGAAAAAAAAAGTCTAAAAAAATAAAAAGGAGAGAGAGGAATATATGGAAAAGGCCAAAAGAAAATGGGAAAACGACAGGATTACTTTTAAATTTTTAACTCAAAAGGAAATTGGTCCGAGAGACAAAAAGTTAGCAGTATTTTATAAAGTAAAGCAGTAATTAGATAGAAAAATAAGGAAATGAGGAAATATGTCTGAAGGGCTCTTTTGATATTTTGATAATATAATAATCTGGTAAAAAAAAAAAATAATAATAAAGGTTGCGACTTTACTGGACTTGAGCCACTGCTCCTCTAAAATGCTCTTTTCTGGTTCATCATCTTGTTGGCTCCCGAGGATTCGGTGCTTCTTGGTCCTCCTCATTTTGGCTTCTCTAAACCAAAATTTGTGATAAAAATCAAGTCTTGCCAGTTGGGTTTTGCTTGATTTTTCTTGGTTCCAAACGATCATTCTTGGTGGTAGGTTGATGGGCTCTTCTGATCTTTGAGTGTTTTTTCTTCTTAAGAGAGATTAAGTTAGAGAGAGAGAGTTTTCGAGAGAGAAGAGATGGGGGAGAAACCGGAAGCATTGGAGGCTGTTCTCAAGGAAACTGTGGATTTGGTAAATAGATCTGAAAAAGAAGAGAAGTCTTTTTGAAGCCTTTTGTTGGTTTTGCTCTTTCTGTGTTGTTGATTTTTTTTTTCGGCGAATGCAGGAAAATATACCCATTGAGGAGGTCTTTGAGAATCTGAGATGTAGCAAAGAGGGTCTCACCACTGAGGCTGCTGAGCAAAGGCTAACCATTTTTGGATACAACAAGCTTGAAGAGAAGAAGGTTAAAGTTTATACCTTTATTATTATTATTCTTTGTTGCAATTTAGAACTAGTCCCTTCTTTTTTGGGTTATTTTTGCCTGAAAATATTGTGTTTTGGGTGTAATTCAGGAGAGCAAATTCTTGAAGTTTTTGGGGTTTATGTGGAACCCTCTCTCATGGGTTATGGAAGCTGCTGCTATCATGGCCATTGCCCTTGCAAATGGAGGAGTAAATACTTAAAACACTTCTTCTTCTTCTTGTTTTTTTTTTTTTTTTTTTTAAATATTAAAAACCTTTTTTTTTTTTTTTTTTTTTTTTTTTTTTTTTTTTTTTTTTTTTTTTTTGGGCATAAATTTAGTGTTATAAGTTATATTACAACTTTGTTTGTCTTTGATTTTATCTGAGTTTGTTCCATAAAACACTTTCTATAGGGTAAGCCTCCGGATTGGCAAGACTTTGTGGGTATTATTACCCTTCTTTTTATCAACTCAACCATTAGTTTCATTGAGGAAAACAATGCTGGTAACGCTGCAGCAGCTCTCATGGCTCGTCTTGCTCCTAAAGCCAAGGTACCCTTGTTGGATTAGGCTATTTATTCTCGAAAAATTTCACTTTTTTTAGCAAATTTTAACTTTAACATGTTGAAATATACTTGAATTCCTTTGTTTTATCTTATCCGGCAAAAGGTTCTTCGAGATGGAAGGTGGAGTGAACAAGATGCTGCTGTTCTTGTGCCCGGAGACATTATTAGTATTAAGCTCGGAGATATTGTTGCGGCCGATGCTCGTCTTCTTGAGGGGGATCCTTTGAAAATTGACCAGGTTGGTCTGCCGCTAAGGATTCAAGTTGCTTGTTTACTAATGGGGCAAGGGTTTATAGTTTGGTTACTGAGAATTGAACTCACAAGTCTTTCATTGTGATTTGCAGTCTGCACTTACAGGCGAGTCCCTTCCTGTGACGAAGGGCCCGGGGGACGGTGTTTACTCTGGTTCCACTTGCAAGCAGGGTGAAATAGAAGCAGTGGTTATTGCCACTGGTGTTCACACCTTCTTTGGGAAGGCTGCTCACCTTGTTGACACCACTAATCAAGTTGGTCATTTCCAAAAGGCAAGGAATTAATAGCACCATATCTTTGGAGTTTGGACTGAACTTATGAATGATGAATTTAGAATTTACTAAATGATTTTTTCCCCGTGTATAGGTCTTGACTGCGATCGGAAATTTCTGCATATGTTCAATCGCGGTGGGGATGATAATAGAGATTGTTGTCATGTATCCAATTCAGGATCGCGAGTATCGTCCTGGAATTGATAACCTTCTTGTGCTTCTCATTGGTGGAATTCCCATTGCCATGCCTACTGTACTGTCGGTGACAATGGCTATTGGGTCTCATAGGTTGTCTCAGCAGGTTGGCTAGCTTCCTTAAGGATGTTTCTATGAAAGGTTGTTTCGAGTAGTTTACGGGATATATAACGATATTTTCAAACAATCAATGTAGGGAGCTATCACAAAGAGGATGACAGCCATTGAAGAGATGGCGGGCATGGACGTGCTTTGCAGTGACAAGACTGGAACCTTGACGTTGAACAAGCTTACAGTTGACAAAAATCTTGTCGAGGTTGGTTAATCGGTGCTGTGGCTTACTGGTTGTGTGATTCTTTTCATTTTTTTCCCAAAACTATATTATAAATTCTATTTCATATGGGCAATTGATTTTGATTAATAGGTTTTCGCAAAAGGAGTCGATCCAGATACTGTTGTTCTGATGGCAGCTCGAGCATCCAGAACAGAAAATCAAGACGCGATAGATACGGCTATAGTTGGAATGCTGGCTGATCCAAAGGAGGTAAATACTTGATTATGGAGACGTTGAGATAGTTTTATGTAGTTGTTCACTATTATCAATGAATTGCTTAGATTAATATCAGAGCTTTATTGTTCCGTAGATATATATTTTCCCTTGAACTTAATTCATGCTAATGGACTTGCTCCCTCGAATATTGTTTCCGAAAGGCACGTGCTGGTATTCAAGAAATTCACTTCCTTCCTTTCAATCCGACTGATAAGAGAACTGCATTGACTTATCTTGACCGTGACGGTAAAATGCACAGAGTCAGCAAAGGTGCACCCGAACAGGTAACTTCGTTATTACCTTCCAATTTTTATTTCCTCCCTAAATGTTTATATCTTGTGTACTTAGTTCTGTCTGCATTCCCTCTTGAACTAGATTTTAAATCTTGCACACAACAAGTCTGAAATTGAGCGTAGAGTACATGCTGTGATCGATAAGTTTGCAGAGAGAGGTTTACGGTCTCTTGCCGTTGCCTATCAGGTAAGTGGGGTCCTGCTTCCCGTCTTTTCTTTTGCAGTTCAATGATGTACTTATTTTAGTTGAAGTTTATTAGATAAAATTTTTGTTAATGTCCATTTTATGCAGGAAGTTCCAGAAGGAAGGAAAGAAAGTCCTGGTGGTCCATGGCAATTTATTGGCCTCATGCCTCTCTTTGACCCACCTAGGCATGACAGTGCAGAAACAATTAGAAGAGCTCTAAATCTGGGAGTAAATGTGAAAATGATTACAGGTACTCTTAACGTCGCTGGCGGAGTAGTAACATTTATCTATTTGGGGAAAAAATCCTTATGGGGGCTTCTGTCAATACAACTGAGAATGAATTGATGATCTGTTCTTTGGAAGAAGTTGGAATTTATCATATGCTTTTATTGTGTTATAGACTGGCCTCTCCGCTATTTAAGGTGCTGAATGTTGTGGTTTATATCAGGTGATCAACTGGCTATAGGAAAGGAAACTGGACGTCGGTTGGGAATGGGAACCAACATGTATCCTTCATCTGCTTTACTGGGGCAGGACAAAGATGAGTCTATAGCTGCTTTACCGGTTGACGACCTGATAGAGAAAGCTGATGGCTTTGCCGGTGTTTTCCCTGGTACATTTCTTTGATATCGATTTCATTCTATGTTTTCTTGATTTTGATTTTCAAAACATGATCTTATGTTCTTGAATGTGATGACTCACTTTGTGTTATGTTGGTCCAGAGCACAAGTACGAGATTGTAAAGCGGTTGCAAGCTAGGAAACATATATGTGGAATGACTGGTGATGGAGTTAACGATGCTCCTGCCCTAAAAAAAGCCGACATTGGAATAGCTGTTGCTGATGCTACTGATGCAGCTCGCAGTGCTTCCGATATTGTCCTTACCGAACCTGGCCTTAGTGTTATCATTAGTGCTGTTTTGACGAGCCGAGCAATCTTCCAGAGGATGAAAAATTATACGGTTAGCTTTTGGTTAGTGCTTATGTAGTCTTATAATTATTTGATTATATTCTCGGTATATTTACTTTTCATTCACCGTGTTGTGCCATTTTCTTGTTTGCAGATATATGCTGTTTCCATTACAATCCGTATTGTGGTAAGTTGGTGGCTCTTTGTTTTGTAGCATGGTTGGTGTCTTACGGAAACAATTTTTTGTATCTCTGATCTTGTGGTGTAATTGACAAAAAATGGCCATTTAGATTTCCTCTCAGATATTCTATTTTTCCTAGCCCTGATATTCTTGTCTCATATGGTGGCAGCTTGGTTTCATGTTGCTGGCTTTGATATGGAAGTTTGACTTTCCTCCTTTTATGGTGCTAATTATTGCCATTCTCAATGATGGTTAGTTCTTCCATTAACCTTTATGATCTCTCGCTCTCTCTCTCTCATTATTTTTCCTGATACTTATAGTGTATACAGAATAACTAGAAACAATGGCAGCTTGGTTTCATTTGTTCTATTTTCTGCTGGTTTCTGATACATTTAAAGCCTCATCCGACTTTTTTTGTTTCATCTAAATAAAATCTTTTCCTGTTTTTGTCAAATATACTCGTGTTAGATCTTTTGCGCAACCAGTAAAACCATCTAGGAGTGTGTGAATTACTTTATGCTGGCTATTACTTCTTGAACTCTTTCAGCAAATCATACTTATTGACATTTCAGGTACTATCATGACGATATCAAAGGATCGAGTGAAACCATCTCCACTGCCAGATAGCTGGAAGCTGGCAGAGATTTTCACAACCGGTGTTGTGCTCGGTAGTTACATGGCAATGATTACTGTCATATTTTTTTGGGCAGCATACAAAACTAATTTCTTCCCTGTAAGTTTACTTATTCAGATCGTGATCCTTGTCCTTATTTTTGGAAGATGAATAATTCCCTTGGGTGTCTAAATTTATTAAAAACCATATTGGTTTCGGTATTTTTTTTTTTGTTTCTCTTCATGTGATATATAAATATTATATATTTTCGCCTGTATAGACCACTAAAATAGTATGCAATTTGTTTCAGTCCTGCGGTGATTCCGTTCTCAATACTTTAGCTGATTTCTTGCCTGCTAATTTTGCAGCGCACATTTGGGGTACCAACTCTTCAGAAGGAGGCCCATGATGACTTTCGGAAGCTTGCCTCAGCAATATATCTGCAAGTGAGCACTATTAGTCAGGCTCTTATATTCGTTACCCGATCTCGAAGCTGGTCATACGTTGAGCGTCCCGGATTGTTGCTACTGATGGCTTTTGTGGTTGCTCAGCTGGTGAGCAGACTTTTCCGATCTTTTCACATTGTTTTCCTTATTTCTATTGGTTTGAGTCGAAGTTAATTTTTGAACTTTCATGTGAACAGATTGCCACTTTAATCGCGGTGTACGCAAACTGGAGCTTTGCTGCAATTGAAGGGATTGGATGGGGTTGGGCTGGTGTAGTCTGGCTATACAACATCATCTTTTACATCCCACTTGATTTGATAAAGTTCTTCATTCGCTATGCCTTGAGTGGACGAGCTTGGGATCTTGTTATTGAGCAAAGGGTATGAATTGCATTGATCATTTAATGATAAACACTTTCATCCAACAGGGTTCTTTTTAGCCATTTTACGATGCATTTCTTTTGTTTTATAGATTGCCTTCACAAGGCAAAAGGACTTCGGAAAGGAACAACGTGAGCTTCAATGGGCGCACGCGCAAAGAACATTGCACGGTTTGCAACCACCCGATACCAAGATGTTTACTGAAAGAACACATTTTAATGAACTTAATCAGATGGCTGAAGAAGCAAAAAGAAGAGCCGAAATTGCAAGGTGAGCCCCAATCTCGACAATTTTCCAGTTGTTTAAGCTTGAAACTGAACGTACATGAAACCTTCCTATTCTTTCTACATTTTCCATGCCAAACCATTGAGGAGGATGTCAGTTGATTGTTTATATGTTTCAAGTCTCTCTTTTTACCTTCCGTTGCTTCTTTTGCAGGTTGAGAGAACTCCATACGCTAAAGGGTCACGTTGAATCAGTCGTGAGGTTAAAGGGACTCGATATCGACACAATTCAGCAAGCATATACAGTGTGAGGGAGATGTTTTCTTGGCCTTACTCTTACTGTGAAAGACCAGACCTACTAGTGCTGAGAGTAGAGACGTATAATCAGCATGTTGTTGTTTGTTGCCCCTCTTAAAACAGCCATTAAAATTTATGCTACTCCGCTTTCTGTTCTGAGCACACCTTAAAGAGTACTGTGAATTAGCTTCTTAATCTTAATCATTCTATAAATTACTTTTTCCCTCCTTGGGACGTTTTGCATAATCCTTATGCTTACAAGTTTCCCTCCTTGGAACTGTAGTTTCGATTTGGCTAAACCGTTGTTCATTAATAACCAAGGACTCAAGTATAGTACGAGACTTTTAGCATTCAAATATAAATTCTTTCTGTGTGTCCTAATATGAATAGATGCATTAATGAGATTAAGAAGGCACATAAAAGGGAGAAATGGGGAGCAAATAATGAGGTCACCGGAACCGTATTCTCAGAGCCCTTGTCATAATTCATATACAATCAGGGGCGGAGTCATGTAAGTCGAGGATAAATGGCTGCCCCACCTGAAATTTTATTTCTTCTCTATGGCAGCAGCTCCCGATCCCTCGACTTATTTTTCTAGTTCCGCCCTTGTTAATACAATCTATGGCCTATAAGCAGGTTTCTCAGAATCCGTTTTAGGCTTCAACGGCATTTTCCACCGAACCTTTGTACCTGTACCAACGCACACTAAAAAGTACACAAAGTCGAAGGCCCCTAAACCAGCAACCATGTAATAGAAGCAATCTAGTCTCCCATTGTTAAGATCTTCAGGCAACCAATTCCCACTTGGAGACTCCTTGGTAGTCCTGTGAACAATTAATTGTTATCAAGAAGGTAGTCAAATAACTTGAGACTGCCAAGCCACAAGAGATTAAAGACCCAGCAACTTGGCCTATCACTGCAAATGCCTCGGTGAGTCCCGATAACATAAGCTGAGGGATCAGCCATGAGGCCGACGTGGATGAAATGGCACCTCTTCTAGGCCTGATTCCAATGGTTGGCTTCGTTAGAGCGCGCAGATACTAACGAGGTGAGGATGGAGATAAAGATGCCTATGCCTATTCTCTGAAGGAGTGTTATGCCACCTTCTTTTCTACTAAGCCTTTGAAGTGAAGGGACAATGATTCTGTCATAGATGGGAATGAATATTGTCAAGCTCAGCACGGAGAAGACGGAGTAAGAAGCTGCTGGTATCTCGAAATTATTGCTTCCAAGGCGCCTGTCGGATTGAAGGGCTTGGAAGACAACATAGGTATCCTGATGGACTAAGGCAACCTGGTAAACAACAGCTGCTAAACATATTGGTACTACTCTCAGTAGGCATTTCGCTTCTTCCACTTGTTGTACACTACAAAGTCTCCAAGGATCAGATGGTGAATGTGGAGTCATAATTGCTGCTTTGTTGAGAAATCTGGTGACGTCAATATACGCCAGTTAATGAAAAAGTTTGAACTCAAAGAAAGGGTTCGTGAAAATGGCATATTTGATATCTTAGTATGATTTGTGCTCCAATGCATAATGATTTATGAAAATGGCATGTTACTCTCTTTTTTTTTTCGTAGTCATTAAACTTTGCAAATTATTAAAATAGACTTTTACTTTTAACGCAATTTGAAATTATCAATGTTGTAATGATAAGATGGAAAAGGCAATACATCGACTAGTAACACTTATCAAATACCAAAACTCAGCAATATGTTATATTTAGTGCTAAATTTGCCATATAGCACCAAAAACAGAAATGCATTAGAGAGTAATTTTTCTATTCGAATGCTAATACTGATATTAGCACACTAATTTAGTACTGCATTGAAGATGCTCTTAGGACACGGTTTACCTGAATTGATCTGTGTAAGTAAGATGGGAATTAATGGATTTAGGAGGCATATAGTTGTAGAGAGAGATCCATGGTTGCTCTGGCAGCTTCAATCTCCCTTTCTTAATAGAAACCACAATGATCTGTGCCACACTGGCCAATGGACTTCCTGTGGCTTTCACTTTCACAAACATTTTGGAGCCCATAAGGAAGAGTACAATGGATATGAACATAAGAATTGGTGGGATACTTAAACCCAAAGACCAGCTTATGTTTGATTGGACATAAACAATGAGTGTTGAGGACACTACATTGGCAAAAGTGAAGGTGAAATAGTACCAATTGAAGAAGCTGTTTATTCCCTTCTTTCCAGATTCTGTCTTGGGGTTGAATTGGTCAGCTCCGAATGCCAAGTTGCAAGGCCGGATCCGGCCTGCACCGACAACTAGTAGTCCGAAACCGGTTAATAAAAATGCCATTTGCCCAGCTGTTGGTCCTTTGCATGTATAACTATGTTCAGTGCCACAATGAGAAGGATGCATTTCCTTGATAATTGCTGTTAGGCCTATTACAAGTAGTCCCTTGAAAAAGAAAAGGAGAGAGGTGCTAGCAATATGGATACGTGGGGGCGTGGTACCAAGCATTTTAAATCGAGTGCTGGTAAATCTTCCCATTTAAAACCCTAGACCATCCAACACTCGAAAATTAACCACAAACCCATCATGGTAATCCATTACCACTAGACCACCTCACTCGATCGTTAAACTGAACCATCTTAATTCTCTTTGTTCTGCATATAACAACAGCTTAATCTAGAAGTCAATTTCTCAGAATAGTATTATGTTTCCAAGTTTCATGTTGAGTATGATAAAAACTGGTGTGTGGATATTGTTATAATTAGTACCATAAGTGAAGCGATTGTACCAAAGATTAATGTCTTGTAACGACCAAAATAGGTGTCACAATGGAAAGCTCCAACCAAGGTGGCCACTTGGGTGGTGCCAATGAAGATGGTCATGATCTTTGCAGCTGTAATGCTCTTCGTGTTGAAAACAGTTGTGAGATAGACCAAAAGGTTTGACAAAGTAGCAATAGTTCCTAGCTTCTCAAAAGTTTCATTTCCTGAAATATTATGTACATTTAGAAAGAAAAAAAAAAGAAATATTGAAAAAAAAAGAAAGAAAAGAAAAACCCAAATTCACTCAAACTCACCCATGACAAATGGCATGGCTTTCCATCCTCTCTAGGTAACCTTAGTGTCCTCAGATGAATCAGCTTTCTCATTCTTGTCCGTGGTTTCTCCCAAATTCATCTCCGTGTTTGAAGTTAGTTTTCTCAACTAGTTTTCTCAACTTTTCTGTCTTAGGGTATATATAGTGATAAATAGTTGGAGCCAAAATCTCTAATTTTTCTTGGGAAAATTCTATGGTGGGACACCCCATTTATGTGGCAATTAACCATATACATATGATTCAAAAAGTTTTGTGCTCGACCTATTTTTAAACTTTACCAACTCTTTCAGTTTCTGCTTTTTAGTGGCCTTTGCTCTGTTGAACATAGCATCCGAGTTGTATATTTTGTTTTATTATTATTATTATTATTATTATTATTATTATTATTATTATTATTATTATTATAGTTTCTTTTTATTTATTGTTTTTACTAAAATAGAGTGGAGAGTTTGGTAGATGAGTTTTCTAGAGAATGAAAACTTAATTGAAATATCGGTTATACATGAGTAATAATATTCACCAATGCCATATTATGTGTCCATAAGCCATACCATTGTGACGATTGTCTCACCGTAGAATTTTTTTTTTCTTGATCTTGATAGTTCATTGCGCACATTATTTGTTCCATTAAGGGTTGTCAGGTTTATTTGGACCATCATCAAGATATCAATATATCTTTCTGAACAGAAAAATCTTAATAACATAATCGGTTGTTAAGCATCATCATTAATAGAAGGTGGACTCCACTTACAAAATTCACATTGCAGAATTCACTTTCTATTGATGGATGGTGTTAAACAGTGCCTTGTAACATTACTATTAATGTGAATAATACTTGAGCACCACATATTTTCCAAGTTGGTTAAGACACGTGAAATGTGATCTTTAATCATGGGCAAAAAAAGTAACAAAAGAGGATAGAAAAGGGACTGAATGCTAAAAGCTAAAAAATGCTGAAAAGATATTCCTTGTCGCAGAAAAACTAATAATGGGGAGTGCACTTACTTTGTACGTTCCTCATTTGGTTGCCACTTGATCACAATTTCATTCTAATACTCACTACTGGGTAATGCTTGATTTTATTTTATATTTTAAAATCTGAGATGCTTATTGGATATGTACTTTGAAATGTGCTTGTTTTTATCCACTGATGGTGGAGGTTGTCACCGTCGTGATCTAATTAGTTCTAATGAAATTTGTTGGAATTGATCAGTACTTTTTTTCTCACATGTGGGTGTGGGGGCAATTTATAGCGATGCTTACACGTTTTTTATTTTATTTTTTATTTTTTATTTATAATTAAATTTAAGGGAAGGTAAGCAATTTTATTAAGCCAAATCAGCACGATCAAAAGAGTTACAAAGCGAGGAATAACACCCGGTTGAACCAAGTCTGAATCAGATGAATAAACAAACGAAGCTAACATGACTTTAATAAAACACTGTGGATTTGCAAGTTTTAATTTGGAATAGTAAAAAAGTTTGAACTTTATCTTTTCTATAAGATAATATGTCAAAGTTGAAAGACTAATTGTAGAGTAAGCATAAGACTGAAATACTAATAACAACTATCGGAGAATATTGCTGAACTTATTTTTAGAGTGTATGGATTTAAATTTTTATCTCTAATTTTGATTAAACCCTTTTAATTAATATAATTATTTAACTAAAAAAGATATTAATTAAGACTAAGCGATAAAAATTCAGACTCATACACTCTAAGATATCTGTCTCCTTTCTAATTCTTGACTCAAAGTTTTTACAGCCCAAATCATAACTTCAACTATATTTTAGACTTGTCGTAATTAAGCTCGTTGTAGCCTTAAAAATCTCTCGTCTCCCAAGTTCTTGCGTGTTGCCACCCCTCATCTCTTGTGATGCTAAGAGCTCACGGATTCCCTCGAAATTTTTGGTGGGACAAGAATTAGAAAAATAATCTTTATTTCTAATACCATTTTGTGGATCATCTTAGTCAATGTTCTACTAACATGAGTGGATAGCGACCGGAGATTGTCTAGTTAAGTTCAATATAATGTAAAGTAATGAAGTAGAAAGGAGTATGAAAAGAACATGATTACTACTTCTCTGTTTTATAATTTCAAACGTAAGTAATAACATTGTAATTGTTGATATCCAAATCTATAGTCGGACTCGGATTCTCCGCCTCTTCTGGTCATTTTTCGATCTCAAGTTAGGTTCGGGCGAACCTGCACTGATATATAAGAGAAGGTTTTAGAGTGAGGGGACAATGATATGGTATATGCCAAAGGCACTTCGACGCTTAAGTTAAAGTTTTCTGATCTAGTGCAATTAATGAATTGGTAAAAGTCGGATGGAGAATTTATCTTTACCTCAATAAATGATTATGGGAGCATTTGGTTTAAGAATTCGTACCATGGTTCGAATTATGGTTCGTGACTTGTTACAATATTTTTTCTCACAAAAAATACATGTAAATTAAGAATTAGTTCTGAATCATGATTTTGAATTCATCAACTAAACTTTGCGGTTGGGTTTGGGTAGGACTCGTAACCCGCATGGGGTTCATGTGCTGTATGGACGTGTCAGGAAATAAGACAAGTGTCATTAATCAATGGTTCTTTTACCGCATTTATTCAATGGTGGGGTGAGTCTAAATCGACTAGAGCCCACACGGTGTTTGGAATTTGCGCGCTCCTTAGTTTTCGGCCATTTAAGGCTTGCACTGAGCTATCACGATGTGAAATAGTAGCCGGAGGTGGTCCGAATAGGGGCTGAAGGCGGCCTGACTTTTCGACGCAGAAGTATAGTCGGTGAAGCGAAGGCGGCTGATCGGCACATGCCCACCGGAACAGTGATCGGTGGGACATGCCGATCACTCCACCAACAGTACTAATCAAATTGAAAAAAATGATGTGGTAGATGCCATTGCGCATCACGATCATGGCATCACTTTTGCAGCTGCAACACATTGTTACAGGTTGGTGCTGCGTGTCTTTTCCATGGTCCAAAATTTTTTTTATATATAAATATTTCTCAAAACAAAAAGAAAAAAATCTTTGGAGAAATTTTAGAATAGGATATGAAAAATATCCTTCTAATATGGGTAGTTTCAAAACATTAGATTTATCAAGTTCCGTTAAATTTTTAAGATTTTTGTGTGATATGACGAGCAAAACAATATATGATTACTAACACTGTATTATTTTGTACTCCACTAAAGAATTCTCCATAATTATAGTAATATTAGCTAGAGGTTTTTCATCTATTTATTCTTAAGAATAGAATTTTAGGGTAGAGTCTAAGAAAAGATAACCCTATTCGTACAACCTATATTTGAATTGTTAGATCCTATCAAAATTGTATTAAAGTTAAAAAATTTTTAGAAAAAAATTTGATTAAAATTTGACGGTTCAAAACTACTCAATATTAATATTAATGTATTTTTTTTTTTTTTTGCAGGGTTAATTTTACCTTTAGCGCCATGAACTATGCAATTTGTTCCATTTTAACTTTAGAACTTTGAAACATTGCAAATCACATCTCTGAACGATATGCAACTGGCACCCTTTTAATCTTTTCATCATCAAAACCGTTAAATGTTTACAAAATGAAACACATGATCCTCACATGATCGTTTAAAAAAGGAATTTTAGACAAATTGTATTTATCAGTTTAGCCCTTGCCCTTTTTCAACTAAATCCTAACGTTGTCAGTACTATTTGAAAGTATTTACAGCCATTTTTTCACGGCCATGTTTATTTTTTTTATTTTTTTATTTTTTAAATGCACAAGGTAATATATGTCAAGCTGCCAATTTGAGTAGAAATTTTCATATAACTTCTCTAAAAAAAATTTGTGAAAGAATAAAATTAGTAAAACTTGTATATTGCAGAAACGTAATTTATGGATTTTACCTTCAAACTATATCCTAAAAACAAATATAGAGCCAAAAGGTCAAAAATGGTCATTTTCGTCATTATGTCAAGATTTAATGGTATTGGTGACCAAGGGGTTAAGATAGGACAAGTTGCATAGTTTGGAAGTGTTATTTGTAACATTTCAAAGTTCAAGTATCAAAATGAGACAAATTACATAATTCACGAGCCAAAATGAACTAATCCTTTTTTTTTTTTTTTAATATCCTACCAAAGAAGGCTTCTCTTCACGAATTAATTCGGACCTAAAAATCAGATAATAAGTGGGTGGCCAACTTATAATTAAGATTATAGTTTGCATCATTGCATGACATTTACTCGGCCTTACATGATCAGTTACAAGGTGTACAAGATTGTTTTGGTGCGATATTTTCTTGTCAATTGTCATATAGACCCAAATGGAAAAAGTGACTCAACAAGGAAAATAATCCAAAGAAAACGAAATCCAATGGATTAGTACTAAAGAGCAAGTGATCAATTTTTATACATATTATTCCCTCCTAACTTTATCAACCACAAAATTATTAATCCTCTTAGGTGGACCACTAGGAGATTTTATTCCTAGATTTGCATGAGGAACTAATGAAATAGCTTGGACTTGGAGGCAAAAAGGAAAACAAAAGCTAGCACCAAAAAGTGTAATTAAAAGAGATTCTTCCTTTGTGTCACCTTTGAAGTAGATATAGTGGGAAGCACTATAATCTTAACCAACCGGTTTTAGTTACTGTACAAGCACTTTCTCAAGGATAGTTTTATTTTTTGCTTGACTTGAAATTTAGTGGTGTCTCCGTTCACTTCGCTGATTCGAGTTTAGAATTCGAGTTGAGATGTGACTTTATGTGAGAGCTTTTTACTGTAGCAAAAAAGTTAGATGTGATTGTTTATGAGAGCTTTTTACTGTAGAAAAACTCAAATTCTAAACTCGAATCAGCGAAGTGAACAGGGCCTTAATATTCAATAATCTGAAATGGACATTTCACTTTCAAATGTAAATTTTCTTAGCTGTATGGTTTCTTTAATAAGGAGTGAAGGGGATTAAACTAGCTCAACTTGTTCAGCTTATATAAGCAGTTTGAATAACATTAAAAAAACTGTAGCTGGATGGATATTGCATTGGTGCACTTAACTTTTATTTCTGACATGATTTAGGATCGTAAATTCGACAGTCTTAGACAATATATATTCCAATCAATATTAAACAAACGATTGATAATGGACACTTAGAATCTCAAATGTTAAAATTTAAAATTTGTCTAACTTGCCAATTAAACAAAAAGTTTTGGGCCTATTTTGTATAAAAATTCGTGCACTAAACGTCTGAAAGCCATTTGACAACAATTTACACGGATTTTCAGATGCAAGATCTCATTTTTTAAAATTAAAAATTTAGTGTTAAAGTAAAAAGAAGATACGGTTGAAACGAATGAGTCGTAATGTAAAGTTTATTATAAAACCAGCTAGTGTAGTTGATGTGACAATTTATATGAAACAAGCTAGTGTAGCTTAGTTATAACTTTATATAACATGACATATTAAACTGTTTAGGCATCAGAGATTGCATATAATCTTTATGTCAATTCTCAGCTCCAAGGGCATTACTTGTACTCCTTTTGTATTTATACCTCTTTGCACAGAACATAAAATATACCAAATTTAAGATCTGCAATGCGGCAACCAAGTAATAAAAATAATCCAATCTTCCCTTGTTAAGATCCTCAGGCAACCAATCCCCGGCCTCTCCAGATTTAGTTCTGGTAAAGTGGTGAACTACTGAAACCAAGAGGCCACTCAAGTAATGTGACACTCCAAAACCAATGTATAGTAAAGAACCACTTATGCTTCTCATGTTTTCTGGGAATTGGTTGTAGTATAACTCAATATGGGAAATTATTGTCAATGCTTCAGAAAATCCCATGAGTGCCAACTGAGGTACCAACCAAAACCCGGAAGCGGGAGAAATTTCTCCTCTTCCTGGTTCTATTCCAATAGGTTTTGTTTGAGCCAAACTTCTTCTCCTCTCTTCAACTATGCCGGATATAAGCATGGACGCCGCGGCGAGAACCATCCCAAATGCCATCCTTTGGAGGAGTGCTATGCCGGTTTTTAAGCCGGTGAATCTCTTGAGCGTTGGCACGATGATCCGGTCGTAGATAGGTATCCAGAGGGCGACACCAATCATGATGACGATTGAGTAACTTGCTGGCGGGATTTGGAATTTTGTGTTGCCAAAATGCCTGTCGGATTGTAGAGCTTGGAGAACTACAAAAATCTGTTGTTGGGTCATTGCAATGTAGTATATAGTGGCTGTGGTCCATATGGGAACCACCCTCATTAAGCATTTCACTTCCTCTACTTGTTGCATGCTGCATAATCTCCATGGATTGGCTGCTGACCCATCTGGATTAATGGCGTCTCCGGTGTCAATTATTGCAGCTTTGTCCAGAAATCTGAAAAAAAAAAAAAGAAATAAGAAAGTAGATTAAAGTTAATTTGGAATATGATATCTATCTTGTAACAAAGATCACTTTTTTGCACATTAAGGAACTAGAAGTTGTAAACATATAGCCACATTCGGCCTTGCTTGGTTAACACTTTCATTTATTGTTTTCCAATTCAAAAAGTGAGAAGAATGAGGGCCTTAATTGGCAACGTTTTAAGTAGATCGTCACTCTTCATTTTGCGCTTTAAGTGTCACCAAGCAAGGTAAACAAGTAATTGATTTATAAGTAAAAAGGTAATTGCAGGTATAATCTAGTGTTAATTCTACACTGAGGGTCTCATTCACTTCGTGGATTTGAGTTTTTAATTCGAGCTGAGATGTGATATTTTCTGAGAGCTTTTCACTGTAGCAGAAAAAGTTAGATGTAACATTTTCTGAGAGCTTTTTATTGTAAAAATCTAAAATTAAAAACTAGAATTGGTGAAATGACCGAGGCATGAGAGTCGTAGAATCAAATCCTGCAATTCTCAACGTTAAAAAAAAAGAACGAAGATTTGTTAATATTAGAGGGATTAAGGTACCTAAACTGATTGGAGTAGGGAAGCTTGGAGTTGATAGAAGTGTTATCAATAGGGCTGAAAAGGGACAGCCATGGCTGCTCTGGAGAGTGCTTCAATCGCCTTTTCTTGACCGCAGCCACCACGACTCGTACTGCACTCGTCATGGGACTTGTACCGCTAGGCTTCACTTTCACGTAAACTCGTGATCCCATGTAGAAGAGCAGGCATGATAACAGCATCAACAAGGTAGGAATTGCTAGCCCCAAAGCCCAGCTCCTGCTAGACTGCACATATGCAATGATTGTGTAGGAAATAATCATGGCTGAGGTTACGCTGAAGTAGTACCAATTGAAGAATCTCTTGATTCCTTTCTTTCCAGATTCTGTATTGGGATTGAATTGGTCGGCTCCAAAGGCTAAGTTACATGGTCTTATTCCACCAGATCCTATGGCCATTAGTGCAAACCCACTTACTAAAATTGCCATTTGCAATGGTGTGGGGCCATGGCAAGTTTCACTCTTTTCTTTGTCACAATGAAAAGGATGTAGCTTTGAAATTGCCGCGGTTAGTGTGAGTACCAACATTCCCTAGAAACAAAAAAAGAAGAAACTTAAAAAAAAAAAAAAAAAAAACCAAAATGGGGTACATTGATATTTTCATAGAAAATAGTTTCATGACACGTCACGAGATAACAAGAATAAAATAGAACAAGATATATAGTTATTTCAAATTTACAGAATTTACATAATTTTAACGTTATACAGAACGTTTTATTATTGTCATGTGATAAGATTATAGCGATATATATACTAGAATATACCATGAAAGCCGATATTGAAGCAAATCCCAGAGTGCGGTAGCGACCGAAATATGTGTCGCAGAGAATGGCTCCAGGCAGAGCAGCGAAGTTGCAGGTGCCGCCGAAGAGGTTGACAATAGTTGTTGCAGTGATGGCTTTCATGTTGAATACGGTTGTTAGATACACCAAAAGATTGTTCGTCGTGCCAATATTCCCTAGCTTCTCACATACCTCGTTGCCTGCAAATGGTAACATTTCATTCAGATTAATCACCCGTTTAGTTTATAAATTTAAATAAAAATTTAAATTTTTACAAGAGAATACACTGTAGCAAAAACATTTAAATTATGGTTCAAACTATGAATCAAAATATACTTGGTATTCGACATTAAAAATAAGAAACCAACTGAGAAAAGAAAAGAAATTATTGTGGTGGTTTTGAGCTGAAAAGATTGTGCCACTAACCCACAATGAAAGGCATGGATTTGTTGCCATTGTACTGAACCTCTTCATGTTCATATTCTGTCCTTGACTTGTTATTCCTCTCCTGGGTTTCTTCTTGTGACGCCATTGTTGGTTTCTCACGCAAAACATGCAACTAATATGGTGTATTCATTATATTTGTTCCCTACTTATACAAAGCTGTCTTTCCATAAATTATAAGCACAGGAAGAAGAGAAGATTATTCTCTATTCTATCTCCACTAGTACTGTTTGATGGGGCCCCCATCATTCAAATCCATGAAAGCATGCCTCATTTGGCAGGTTATTCAATTCCGTGTAATTTTGGGTTGATTCCTTATTTGGTAAACAATCTCAGCAAAAAAATAATAAAATAAAATAAAATAATTTCATACATTTTTCTGGATTAATATTAAACTCAAAAGTACCTAAATGCACTTGAAAGAAACAGAAAAAAAAAATATATATTAAATTTGTTACAATTAGACCCAAATTTCAAAATACAAAGGTGTTTTACCTAAACTTTTCATGTTGTGCTTTAGTTAAAAGTTATCCCATGATTCACTAGGGGATAACAACATTTCCTTTTAAATGGATTTAATAATGGACTGAACAAAAATTTATCTAATCCAGTCTTTTAAAAATATTCACCAAACACAATATTAAATTTAATCATATTTAATCCTCCTTAATCATGCGTACCAACTAGGTCCTTAAAATAAGCAGGATACAAAGGTATAAGAAAATTAATAGCCTAAAAGAAAAACAAAGAAAAGGCAAGTGTGGCCAATTTATAACGCAAGAGTTATAAACCGCGTGAAATGTGAATATGAATAAATAAAGCATACGTTTCAATTGAATGGCGTTTTGGGGCCTTGGGCCACGTCGCAACGGTCAAGCCACTTGGGAGCCATGAAGACTCATGTGTTGCAAAGCCGCTTTCCCGGCTCCTGTAAGACAGAGACACTTTCTCTTCTTTGCCAAATTTATGCTACGTTTAGAATAAATATTCGTATCATAATTTAAATTATAATTTGTGATTTGTTACAGTATTTTTTTTATTATAAAAACACACATAAATTAAAAATAGTTCTGAAATATGATTTTAAATCTATAAATTAAATGTCCATTTAATGTTACCCTTCTCTTTCTTTTACGCTTTTTTGTTTTTTGTTTTTTTAATTCTTTATTTCTTCCTCAACACCTGCATGAATGAAATGTGTCCAACTTTTCCTTACCCACCCGACCCAATTAATAACTCGGCGTCAAACAATATCTACAATAAATATAAGCCATGTTGTACACATATTGTATTTTTATATATTGTATTGTGTTGTATTATTATAATACAATATGGTATTTTGTGTCATAATATATTGTATAAAAAGTTAAAATTTATAATTTCAAAAATTTTGAGGGTTAAAAAAGCAATTTTTGAAAAATTTTTAGGGTCAATAATTTAATTTTTAAAAACATTTATGGTCAAAATTTAATTTTTAAAGAATAGAAATTTGCATTGTGCTCCTCAATTTTTAAATAATTTAGGTTCCGGAATGACCCTATTGGTCTGACCCCGGCCCTCAGTTGTGCCCAACTCCAATATAAATACGGATCTGTTACAAAATAATACAATACAATATACAAAAAAAATTAGTCGTATTCTATAGTATGACATAAACAATATTAATTTAACTTCTGTATTAATTTATACAATACAATAATTACATTAAAATATTATACTAATATATTATTATATAATAGCGTGCTCTAATATGGTTAAACAAACATGTTAATAGAGAATAGAGAAATGAAAATAGTTCAAATTAAGTTCGTGTACATATACATCGTAAAACATCAACAAAGTGCGATCTTCCAAAACTGACTTGAGGTGGTGATAATTTATCTAACTTAAGATTGCATATTTACAATACAATTTAATCTTTTTGTTACAATATTTTTTCATAAAAAATTTAAATTTCTATTTAGATTTTCTGTTAAAAACTATGAGCTGACTTTTTGATGCAACTATGAGTGAGTGACTTGTGTGTAAATAAATAAATAAATGTCATAATGCTTTGTCTTTTTATCGCGATTCAAATCTATAATGACGTTACGGTTCGAATGTATAAGGGTTAATATATCTCACCAACTATGATTGAATAGATGTCCATAAATGTTCGATGTCAACCTATATACAAATGGTGATTGAATGTCAAACCTATGCTTGATAATAGTTTAATTATTTGACTACTGATTTACTTTTTATTTATTTATTATTATTATTATTATTATCTTCATGGGACGAAGCCTCACGGGAATTCGCATTGAATAAAGCGGGAATGAAGAATAATAATTAGGGATGGAGATGGAAATGAGGACAAAATTTTACCCCTGAATTTTAGCGGGCCGGGGACAGATGAAGCACTCCCCACCCCGCTCCCGCTCCGATATACATATGTTATATATAATATAATATATTTTATATAAATATACATACATATACTTTTTTGCATATGTGTTAATTTCTTGGCTTCACAACTTTTTTTTTTTTTTTTTTTTTTTTTTTTCTTTTTTTTTGATTTTTTTTTTTTTTTTTTTTTTTTTTTTTTTTTTTTTTGCATATGTTTTGAATTTAGTTTGTATTGAGAAATTTTTGATTTTGGTCTAAACTTATATTGAATTTCTACTCTATTTTTACTTTAAGTTAAAATAATTTTGAAATACTTAATTACATTCGATGGTAATAGAGCGGGTGCGGGGAACACCCCCCAACGGGGAATTCCCGACTCCGCCCCCATCTCTCCTTAAGTGGGAATGAGAGCGGGGATGAGGATAATTTTAGAAGGTGGGGATGGAAATGGTAAATCATTCCCTGCTCCCCTCCCGCCCCGTTGTGATCCCTAATTATTATTGCTATTGTTGTTTGTTGCAGTAAACCTATTATATTTTTAACGCTAACATATTTCAGAAAACGACTATTTTTCACTTTTTTTTTAGTCATTGTATATTCACATTGTTTGGCTTTTCTTGGCTAATCATTCACATTTTTTTTTTTTTTGGTTTAAATAGGATACTACACTTAAGTTACAGTTAAGAAACTTAATTTCTTGAATAATACATTGATTTGTTTTAGATCTTAAAAAATAATTATTGGTTTTTTTTATTTATTGATGGATTATCATTTATTTGAGTTTTAAATTTCTTAGCATGTTTTTCTTCTTGTAATAAGTATCACTCTCTCCTTACGTATACTTCTAAAAAAGAAATTTTTAAAAAATTCCATAAAATCATACTCAAATTAATCTGCAAATCATATATATATATATATATATATTCCACGTATACATATGTCATATAAAACAAAAAATTAAGTAATGTAAAAATTAAGTAATTAGAAATATTTGTACGTAAAAAGTATTAATAATTAAGTAAATTTAATAATTAATAGTTAAATATTAAATATATGGGTTAATTCCATAAATAGTCCTTGAAGTTTACTCGCAATTTCACTTTAGTTTTTAATTTTAAAATGTCCCACAGTTGATCCCTAAAATTTTACTATGTTTCACTTTTGATTCTTCCATTAACTGGGTGTTAAATATTTGACGAAGACTGTGTAAATTATGGATTAAAATTAAAAACATTTAAAGTTTAGAGACAATTTATGGAAATTAACTTTCATTTTTTGTATTGGTTTAGTCTCTAACTTTAGATGTTTCTAATTTTGGTCCTTAATTTTCACAAATTCCATCAAATATTTAACACCTAACAGGAAGTTGGATCAAAACTGAAACAAAACAAAACCTCAGGAATCAACTATGTGAAGTTTTAAAAGTCACGAACTAAAATAAGATTGAGGGTAAACCTTATAAACCATTTTTGAGCTTAACGAGATATATATATATATATATATATCACATATTATTGTAAAATTTTTTCTACCTATAGAAAAGTAATCCTAAAAAAATAAAGAATATGCAAAATAAGAGGTAAGAAAAAATATTTTTTTCAACTAAAGTAAATTTAAAAATAATTAAGGGTCAGTTTAGTTCGCTGATTCGAGTTTTTAATTTCAGTTGAGATGTAACTTTATGTGAGAACTTTTTATTGCAGTAAAAAAGTTAAATGTGTGTTTCTGAGAGTTTTTTACTGTAGTAAAACTCAAATGCCCCGTTCATTTTACCGATTCGAGTTTAGAATTTGAGTTTTACATATAAATATGCCATACAAAGCGTAGTAAGGACGTCACAATTAATTTTGTGAAACCAAATTCTCCTACAAATGTAACTATTTTTCTATATTATTATGTCACACCAATTAATAAAAAAAAAAAGAAAGCTTTCCCACTAATCACGATCCGAGCATATATTTGTTTCAATGAGTATTTCATGAGTTTTGAATGAGTTAAAGTCATGATTAGTAGATTCGTGTCATGATTCGAATCATGGTTCGTGGTCCATTACAGTATTTTTTCTCATAAAAATACACATAAATCGAAAATAATTTTGAATCATAATTTTGAATTTATAAACTAAAACGTATCTTGAATTCAAAGCCAATCGACTACAAGAGAGAGTGGAACTTATAATCCTTCCTACTTTACCCGTCTACAGCATTATTGCACTTATTTTGCCTGATTTTAACATCCAGCTGCTACTTTCTCTGTTTGTTTGTTTCTTCCTTTAATTTATTCATTTTGGGGTGATCAAAATCCAAATTTTGGGTTAATTTAGAGAATGAGAAAATGAGGTAAATATCTTTTAGAGTACATGAGTCTAGATTTATATTCTTTACTCTTAATTAATATCTTTTTTTAGTTAAATAACTATATATATTTGTCAAAAAGATATTAATAGAGTAAAAATTTAGACTCATGCACTGAATTACTTGGACCATCGAGAGATTTATTTCATGATTAATGAGATTATGTACGAATGACAAATGAGGAGAGAGAAAGGGAGAGAGAGATGAAAGTGGACATTCAACATTGCATTTTTGCATGTTCAAATGTTTCTTTTAGTTACCCTGAAAAACACATTAATTATTAAGGGTACAGCTTTATTTTGTGCTTAAACTTGTAATAAAATAGTGGCTAGATATACGGCATTGAAGTGGACATTGCATGATCAAGTTTCCTTTAACTTTAGAGCATGATCTAAGCTGATTTTTGGAATGTTCTTGCACTTTTAGTATGTGCTTTGCTCTTAACGTCTTCCAATTTCATTTTATTTTCTACACAGAAGGTCTAAGTAATTGGTTGAGAATTATTCAAAGAATCAAACATAATAGGAAAAAGCAACACATAATATGAAGAGCCCGTTTAGTTCATGGATTATAACCATTTTCGATTTACGTGCGTTTTTTATGAGGAAAAATACTATAGCAAACCATGAACCATGATTCGAATCAGAGAATGAATCCTCCAACCAAACGGGCTCGAAGTCATCAGCTTTTCATCTGGACCATTCTGATTGAACCATCCATGAATCATTTGAATGGTTATGATGTTTTTGGATGATTGAATCAAATGCACAAAAGATCTTGATCTTGTTGGGGATATATTTTTAAGCACTTAATTTGATCCAAACTAATGAAATGTACAATTTTGTAATAGTTTTTTTGTTTTTTTTTTATTTTTGGTCTATAACTATAAAGGAGAAAATAAACTTAAGTCCCACATTGTATAAGTATAATAATAAACAATATATGATATGAACATTGTGCCACTTCATTTAATAGATTGACATTTTAATATGGAAGCTCATGACAAGTAACTGTCCAAGTCTAGGGATAGTGAGGTTCAATTTAAAGGTAGCCTCTACTGCTTAGCAAAAGAGATTCTTTCTTTAGATGAGTACATTCGAAAATTCAAAGGAAAACAACATTCCGATATGGACAAAGTATTTCAAGTACTCTTACAAGATTATTTTCTACTGCATAGTTACTGTTTATTATTATTCAAAAATTCATTTTTTGTATTTATCATAGCGCAACAAACTTAAATAAGCGGTTGAATTCACCCAATACAAGATTGGTGATTCCAAAAATATCACCATCTTGCGGGTACGTATAAAATATAAAATAAACCCAAATCCCACATAATTTAAATACAATAATAAACAATTAAGACAATCAACCACCCCACTTAACTTTTAAAATTGAAGTTTATGACCTTAAAATGTCCAAATCCCATTTAATAAGATGTTAATTAACTAGAGAATAATGTGCTATGACTTTCCTAGGATCCTAGCTAGATCAACATCATGATGTATTGAGCGCCGTGGTATACGTGTTAGAGCTGATAATAGTTGGAAAAAAAACCACAACTTAATTTGCAACTTATTTACATAAATTGCCACTATACCATTTGGCCAACATCTATCTTCTACAATTTTTTTTTTTTTTTTTTTCCCGTTCCTCTGGTTACAGGGGGAAAAAAATCAAATAAAAAGCTTAACTGGAAACCTGATTTATTGAAAGTAATATTTGTATGTATCATATACGTAGAGGAATTTTAAGTATCGAGGAATGGATGAAACATCAATCGATTTTTGTCTTATATTTTACTACACATTTAATTGTCATGGGAACATTTCACTAATTCAAGTTTATAATTCGAGCTTTGCTACAGTAAAAAGCTCCCACAAACAGTTACATCTAGCTTTTATACTACAGTAAAAAGTTCTCACATTAAATCACATTTCAACTCGAATCAACGAACTAAACGGGCCCAATCTTCCGTTATAATTTAATGGCATCCCAGAACCCATTTTCTAATTTAGAGAAATGAAAATATTTTTATTTTAAGTTGTAGCACATAAGGATTGAAATAAAAAAATATTTATCGTAAGAGAAAGTTAAAAAAAAAGAAAAAAGAAAATGAAAAATGTTAAAAGGAGATATGAATGAGAAAGATAGAAGAATGGGTTATGATTGATGGTGGCAGTTTTGTAAATAAGATATTGAAAAATGACTTGTTATATTATATTAGTTTGTCTCTTAAATATAGAGTGACAATATGGTAAGAGCGAGTTCGTATTTAGCACTCCTAAAGAAGAAAATCGATTTTTTTCTAAGCTTGTTGCATAATTCAACTGTGTTTTTGAGGGCACCAATTGGTCTAATAATCTGTTTTCAATATTAATTCAAATAGGTGGTCAGCGTATTGGCATGGTATTGAAATGATACTCATATAATTTTGACTGTTAGTACTATTAACTAATATCTTAATCCCAAAAATAACACAAACTGTTGATTAAAATCAAAACTACATATATTAATAATAAATAGTATTCTCATCTCCATCACCTTTGCTATTAAGACAGATATACACAATGAGAGTAGGACCTTCAAAGATCTCTCTCTTTCTTCAAATTCAAACATATGTGGAAGTAAGACTATTCTATGGTTTTATTATGCAACAGGCTTTTCAGGTTTCGTATTTGTCATGTCAACTTCAAAGGCGTGAGGAGTGACGGAGCTTTCTTTATACTTGTACCACTTGGCACACACCAAAAAGTAGGCGAAATTCACGACTCCCAAGGCGGCAATCAGGTAATAAAAATAGTCCAATTTCCCTTTGTTCAGATCATCAGGGAACCAATCTCCCATTGAAGAGCCAGAAGTTGTGCTGTGAATTATTGACACCAAAAGGCCACTCAAGTAACTTGACATAGCCATGCCAAGAAACAAGAAAGAGCCACCAATGCTTCTCATGTTCTCTGGGAACTGCTTGTAGTAAAACTCAATATAGCCAATGACGGCAAATCCTTCGGAGAGTCCCATAATTGCCAACTGAGGCACAAACCAATATCCCGAAAGCGGAGAAATCGCCCCTCTTCTTGGTTCCTTTCCTATTGGCTTTGAGAGTGCCAAGCTTCTTCTCTTGTCCTCAATTAGGCCAGATAAGATCATGGCCACTATGGAAAGTACCAATCCCACACCTATCCTTTGTAGAATCGTTATGCCGCTGTCTATCCCGGTGTACTTTCGGAGCCTCGGGACGAGGATCCTGTCGTAGATAGGTATCCAAATTGTGACAGTGATCATAGTAAAGACAGAATAAGAGGCGGCAGGAATTTTGAAGCCACTGTTGCCAAGATGCCTATCAGCTTGAAGGACTTGGAAGACCACATAATTATGCAGTTGTGTAATTGAAACATAGAACAAAACGAAGGAGGCCCAAATGGAAATCACTCTCATTAAGCATTTCACTTCCTCCACTTGCTGCATGCTGCAGAGTCTCCAAGGGTTGGCTGTTGATCCATCCGGATTGATTTTGTCATCAGCCTCAGTTATTGCAGCTTTGTCTACGAATCTGAAATTTAAAAAAAAAAAAAAAAGACATTTTTTTAAAAAATTAACGAAGGACAGTTATGATTAAGATGTGAATAATAAAAAGATGATCTTCATAAAAGGATAGTTTTGCATTTTTCGATAAAAAGCATAATCATTATTTAATTATGAAAGATATCTTGGAGATCTCATTATTGACCATATTTCCAAATAGACAAAACTTGGCAAATATATGAATCAATGGTGGGGCAGGTTTTAGTCCTCTAGTCAAACATTCCTAGTAAAAAAAAAAAAGAAAAAGTTTATTACACTGTATTTGAAGATTTGAGAATATGCTTTTTTACTATGCTTTGCAAACTTCAATAGTATAACAACATGAACCTTGAGTTGGCCAAAACAGAATAAGAATTAAGTAAAAAAAAAAAAATGATATGCAATAGAAAAAGGACAGAATTGTGAAAAGAAATATTATGGGTTGAAGGAAAAAGTTATGATAATGAACATTAACCTGAACTGAGCGGTGTAAGAAAGGTTGGAGTTGGTAGAGTTTGGGGGAATATGGTTGAAGAGGGACAGCCAAGGCTGCTCTGGGTGCTTCAAATGCCTCTTCTTGAAAGCAGCCACAATGACTCTAACTGCACTCGTCAAGGGACTACCACTAGCCTTAACTTTGACATAAATTTTGGTGCCCGCGAAGAAGAAGACGCAGGATAAGAACATGAGGAACATGGGAATTGCCAGCCCCCAAGTCCAGCTAATATTGGACTGGATATAGACAATTACTGTAATGGATATCATCACGGCAAATATCAAGGTGAAGTAGTACCAATTGAAGAAGCTGTTGATCGCCCTCTTCCCGGATTCGGTATTGGGATTGAATTGGTCAGCCCCAAAGGCCAGATTACATGGCCTAATCCCACCACCTCCTATCACAAGAAATCCGAAACCAATAAATAGGAATGCCAATTGCCATGGTGTTGGACCCTGACATGCCCCGCTATTCGAGTTTTCGCAGGACGGAGGGTGTAGGTTTGTCACTCCTGCTGTTAGTGTTAGAACCATCATTCCCTACAACCAAAAAAAAAAAAAAAAAAAAAAAGGGTTCATCAATTTGAATTGTTGTAACATGTAAATTAACTCCCTTCAAAGGAAAAGTGTCGTTATACATGACTGTTTGTATGTATAGGTGTGTATATATATATATATGTGTACCAAAAGAGAGGCCACGGAAGCAAATCCTAAGGTCTTGTAACGACCAAAGTACGTGTCACAAAGAAAGGCTCCAGGGAGAGTAGCAAAGTTGGCGGTGCCATTGAAGACGTTGATAAGAGTGTTGGCAGTTACGCTCTTCATGTTGAAAACTGTAGTTAGATAAATCAACAAGTTGTTTGAGGTCCCAATTGTCCCTAGCTTCTCAAAGGCCTCATTTCCTGCAAAATAGTTTCAAATCAATTATGTAGTTGTGATTAAAAAAAAAAAAAAAAAAAAAAAACTTAAAGTGAAACCGACAAAAAACAAAACAGAAAAAGAAAAAGGTTTTGCTAAGATCACCTATAATCAAAGGCATGGCTTTGAGACCCCTGTAGCGAATTTCAGGTTCATTATTAGTATTGACATCTTGCTCTTTCTTCTCCATGGTTTTTGTTTCTGCTTTCGTTTTGCAGGTAAGCTAAATGTTGTTTATAAGCTAAATGTTGTTTATAAACTAAATATATATATCTACGAAGAAAATGAAAAATGGAGAAAGGAAGCTAAGGAGCTAAATGATTGAGCATTTGAGGTCGAAATTATTATACTTTATTGCCTTCCATAAATTTCAATTACTTTAAAAAGCTCCATATATATATATATATATATATATATATATATATAGTACTTTACAGTCCACATGACGACAATATTGAGACCTATAAATTGTTCTTTTTTGTGAGTGTGTTGGACTCGCAACTTTTTCATCAATAATGAAGTCGGTACACCTATCGTTTTATTGTCTCCAGAATGTGAAAGCTGTAAAGTGTTTCTCCATAGGTTTTCATTTTGTAATTTGGGAGTTCTTCTGTCAATGCTATTGGTAATGTGAGTTTTTAAATGTTAGATTAGGTTAAAATTATATTCAATTAAAAAAATGTGTAAAATAGACTGTTTTTTATACATATTTAACAACTAAAAATAGTTATTTTTTTTTATCTTACTAGAGAAGCTCTCTTGTAATTTTTATTTTTATTTATTTCTGTGGGTGAAACAACAGGTGGCATGAATCCAAATTTTTAATACAATGCTTGATGTAGATGGATCTTGTGGGACAAAATATCCTTAATTTGTATGCGGGGTGGAGCCATGAATCCAAATTTTTAATAGATTCGTACATGAAAGTGTTCACATACGTATTTCGGTTGTTCTAACTTAACGTGTGTATTTATTGGTGTGTGAGTTTCTTATAAATCTTTTTTTTTTTCATCACAGTGAAAAGAAGAATACAACGGTCAAAAAACGAAACATTAAAGTGAAGCATTGTAAATCTTGTGCTTATTTGATTGTTTTTCTTTTATTTTAACGCTCTTTTAGAAAAAAAAAAGAAAAAAAAGAAAAGATGTTTATAGTCTGTGACGGACTATATATGTTCAATCAAAACTCTTAATTATAAAGGATATTCTCCGGTAGATCAGTCTATTAGTAGAGTCAGTTTTTAACCGTTCAGTCCGGTAAAAGTTACATCAAATTAAAAAGGTATATAAAACAGACAGTTTTTAATACAGATCTGACTACTAAAAAGTAGAGAATTACAAATCTAACGATTAAAAAAATAAAAAACTACCTATTATTCATTTTTTTTTTCAATCCTACTAGAAAAACTCTTTAGAGATAAGCCCCAACAAAAATCTTATACTGAATCTGTAACTGGTTTGCGTGCCTAATGACATGACATTTGTGGAAAGGATCGCGTCAGCTTTTCTTGATTAGAAGACTCAAGAACTAGTCGACATCATCAAACAAAAACAAAAAAGCCCATAAATTGTGGTTGTCACTTGAATTTTATTTGTTCTCATGCAGTTGTAATCTTCTAAATGCATGTGATTCCCGCGTTACAGTGTTTGTTGATTCCATCGCTGCTGTCTTGTTCTGCTAAGAGATAAGTAGCAGAGAATTGTGTGGCGTGCTTACTCTCGGTTGTTCTTAGAGGTGTATTTTAAACGAAATGCTAAAACAACTCTCAGTCGTTGGAAGATCTTATGAGAAAAGAAGACAATTCAAATTACTTCTCTTGGAAATAAGGGCACTTAGGATTATCCCAAAGCCATCCAATAACCTATCCTGGCCCGGCCGCTAGACTAACCCTCGAGTCAATGCCACGTCAGCACTTAGTTACAATTTACAAACAAAACCGATCTAATTGTATCTCGGTTTAGTTTGGTTTGGTTTGGTTCGATTCGGTTTTAAATTTTTGAAATTGAAGAATATATTGAAAAAAAATTAAAACATATGAAAAAAAAAATGAAATCATACGAGTGAACTTTTTGTTATTTTTTTTTTTTAATCTGAAAAAGCTCTTTAAATATATAACTGGGTGACCAGTGAGGGATAAAATTTTGTCAATCCTATTGAAATACACTAAATTTTGTAATTTAATTTTTGCGTTACATAGCCAGCTTAAATATTCAAATCTAGTAGTGCAAAAAAAAAAAAAAAAAAAAAAAAAAAAAAAAAAAAAAAAAAACCATAACTACAACAAGAGACTTTATTTTCAACTTTTAGACATGGACGTCTTTTGTCTTTACGCTAGTAGTTTGTCCTGTTTTAATAAGTGGCCTGAAGAAATTCAGTCACATGCAAATTGAAACGTAAGTGGGACCACTGGCTCTAGGGTTTGAAAGCATTTTTGTTTTTGTAGGCAGTAGGTATAAAAATGTTGGGGACTGAAAGTAACTTTTCCTTTTTGCAAATAATATCAGTATAATCTGTCAGTTGTCTTAAATATGAACACGACTGTTGAATTTCTAAGGAAGTGTTTGGGAAGAACACTTCAACATCTAATTATTAAAGGAACAACTATATAATAAGGACATATTTCTACTGTTTTGTGGTCCATATCGCATGCATTAAAAAAAAATGGTCCTTGGAATTGAAGAAAACATCAACTGTCAGTTATTGAAGAATTAATATGTACATATATTACACAAGTCACTTGTCTAATTTTAATGTTTAAAATGATATTAATCAATCAAATTATAATACCACATATAAAATATTTTAAACGCTTTTTTTATTAAACTTTTATGTTTTAATATTTGAATTCATTTTAATGACGTATTATAGTGTGACTAATTAAATCTAAATTTATATTACTGTTTTTATTGTCCAGATTTTGCTGAGGCATTACAATTTCGGTAGGATCTTGATAAGACCAGTTTTTAATCATTAGATATAATCAAAATCAAATTATATTAAAAAAATAATATAAAATAATTAAACCGTTTTTTATATAAATTTAACTATTAAAAATAAGAAATTATGGGTGTGTTTAATTTAAGGATTCGTAAGGTCCGTTTGGTTCATGGATTCAAATTATGTGATTTGAACTATTTTTGATTTACGTGTATTTTTTGTGAGAGAAAATACTGTAGCGAACTACGAATCATGATTCGAATCAGGGAGTGAATCTAGGAACCAAACAGACCCTACATGATTTAAACTATAATTTTTAATTGTTATAATATTTTTTTTTATAAAAAATTTAAATTGTAAAAGTTAAATGAATCATGTTTGAACTCATGAATCAAACAACCTAAAATGGTCCAATTTTTTTCTTAAAAAAAAAAAAAATAAAAATAACAAACAGTGGTCAGCTTTGAAATTGATTTCTCAAATCTTCTTAACCAATGAGTTCTTGCCTTGTGTACCTTATCACTTATCGTAACGGTCCATGTGTTAAACATGTTGACGCGTAAAGTAGGCCACAGTGTGAGACGTGACAGTGACACAGACCGAGAAATCAACAGTTTTGGTGTTTAGATGGTGCATGATTGCAAGAAAAGTAGTGGACAAAATAATACTAAAATCGAGGGTTGCACGTGGAAGGTTCAAATTCTCATGATAATCCTATAAACATATATATAAATAAGAATGAGTTTTTTTAACTGCCGTTTCCTGGCTTCGTTCACTGCGTTTCGTTATTCATTTGATCGTCTTGTCAGTACATCCTGTATAACATATTAGGAGTTAAATTTTCATATTAGCAGTTCTTAAAAAATCTTCCGGTATAACATCTATAAGTCATTTGATACATTTGTTTTATAAAGAAATCAAAATAATAAATAATAATTAAAATATATATTTAAGTGAAAATAGTTAATATAAATCTAAGATAATTAATGATTTCATATAACATTTTTATATAAATAAAAAACACATAATAGTACCTAAATTTTTTCTTAAGTTTTGTTTTGTCTCTTTTTTCCATACCTTCTTGTTACACCATGGTCGATCTCTTTGAGCGACAAGCGTCGAGGCCTCCTCGTTAAGAATCGGTCGCTATCGTCGAAGGAACCAATGTACCTAGGGTGCCATTTGAATGCCTAGAGTTCGCGCGGAATAATGTGCGTCGAGAGCTCCGTTTGGGTGTGAAAATAGTCCTGTCAACCCAGGGAAAGGTACATTGTACCAACTACTGGCACTGTTGAAGTCAAGAAATCAGGTAGTCGGTAAGGGTGGTTAGCCTGATCAGGAAACAGTAATCATGAAAATCTGACTGCCAAATCCCAAAATTGAGGGATAGAGGATGATCTCCTCAGGAAATGCAGAGGGGATCTCTCATATGTACAAGGCCTATAAATAGAGCCATGAGAATTCATTAAGTTTTTTAGGCACCTCTACTACTCTAAAAAGTTTAAAATCAACAAAGTATTAGTGCATTCACAAGTAAATTAGACCAAAAAATCTTACTGAATAACTATAAATTCTTGTATTCTCTATATTATTTAACAACATTAATTCTTGATTAATCGGTAAATAATTACTGTGAATATTCTCAAAGAGATAATCTTTAGTTGATAGAAACCACCGTCAACACTTCTACTTAAGATCTTTTATTAAACATATATACATATATATATATATATATATATAAGTGAGAATGAGATTTTGTAAATACAAATGAGTTTTTTTAAATACCATTT